GCCAGGGAATGGCCCCTTGTACAGAGCAGTTCTTCCATTCCAGTTTCCGATTACACTCAACACTCCTCCTTTTCCTTGAATATAAACCTCCTTAGCGGTTTCTTTGTCCGTAATTGTGATATTTTAAAATTAGAAGAAAAAGAATGAGAATAGATTTAGAACAGAAAATGCTGGCTACAAAACTAGTTGTCACTGTGTTGTGCAGTTAGGTGGTTATGTTTTTTCCATTAAGACTTTGTTGTACAGGTACATAATGCTGAGTGCTTCCTTTTATGTAATACATAAGTTTCTGAGGTTCATACACTGTCATATTTGTTATGGCTGTTTCTTATTTTTAAAGATACTTACCTTCTTATTGACCAAGATACAACGCTCTTTTAGTTTGGGGATGCAGTGGAGAGTTAGCTGCACAGACAAAAAATGGCTAAGGTTTAGGAAGACCAAATACTGTACTTGTCTGTAAGGCTAACAGCAGTCTTTGAAGGTAATGTTTTTCGTAAAATCCTTCATAAAGTTAATTTTTTTACTTTATGAATAAATATTTTGTGTGTTTTCATTTTAATGAATTACTTCTGCTAATGGATAGACTATAGGTCATATTCTAAGCTGTCCTTTTATCATGAGGGCATAATAATATGAACCACTCAGTTTCTGAAGTGATTAGAAAAGTCATTGCATACGGTACCTTAATTTTTAGTTTTAGGAATCTATTTTAAATTTTGCAAGCAAATATTTAAATAAATGCCTCTCCAAGGTTCCAAGTACCCTTGCCATCAATTTACAATACATTTCGTAATCAAATAATTACAAAGCAAGGCAACATCTTGCTCCCCTGTGTGCAACCACTATTCAGGAGGGGGAGAAAAAATCACAAACTAAAATCTTTCCACCTCTTGAATTCCCAGCAATAGTATCCTCAAAAAGATGAGCTATCTATGCATTGTACTTGGGAAATTAACAGTGCAGGGCAAATTTGTAGAGCAACCTGGAGGAGTGAATTCTGAAGTAGAGGGGCATTCACAGAGTATGCATGTGTGTGTTTAAACTACATAGCTTCACTACAGTTAGTGCTGTATGATTTCTGGTTCACACGAAATTTTTTACTTTAACATACACAAATATTTTCTAGCAAGTTAACGGTTATATTTGTGACTTTGGGAACAACTATGCATCATCAACCATTAATAGAAAATTTAGAAATTGTTTGAAGCATTAATATAGTTTGCAGCAATTTTGAAGTGTCTGAAACATTAACTTGTTAACATTTTAAATTAAAGTGACAGAATATCATGTAGTGAATTAATAAAGTCTGAGGAGTTCTCCCAGCTGTTGTGATTCAGAGTGGAGAAATTATATAAATGGGAAAGCTCTTGAACAGATTAATTTTTATTTAAAACTGAATTCATACAATTCACTTTTATAAAGTGATGCCACCTTTTTAAGGTTTGGGAGGTAGCAATTTAAACCTCATTACTTTTCTCAATTTTATCACCTGAATTACAGATCATGTTTTAATTCACTTTCTGGAAATGGATAGTTTTCTAAAAACATGACTTGATTCAACACTTACTTCTTAACTAGTCAAAAGGGGAGTTTATCTTGAATAAATAAAAAACCTAAGGCTCCAATCCTGTGACTTGTTATGCACAGCCAGAACCCTTCATTTTGATCTCAACAGTGAGGTTGAATATGGGCTCAAGGGTCGACCAGGGCACAGTCAGTTATAAGATCAGGGTAAAGTGCCTAAACTTGATTTCAGAGACATGGTGTATTGCTATTTATTGGGTGAGCTTGCAAGACCCTGTACTCAAAGGTGTCAGTCTGTATGTAATGTGATAACTTTTGAACACTGCATGAAATCAATTCCAATATTTCAGGGAACATTATAGGCATCACTGGCCAGAATCCTATTGATTTGGGGAGCAATTGGAAAATTGAAAGAGGAGGTTGGGAGAGAGTAGAATGTGGGACGCATGGAGTCCCTGCCATTGGTTTAGCACAGCCACAGCTTCAAGCACCTCTGCATTCATCTGTAGGTCAAACTGATTGATTGTGCCCATTAACACTTTACAGAATAACAATACTCAATCTAATCTCTGCCCATGCTCCTGGTAGAGTTTAACATACTGATATGCTGAATGATTTTTCACCCAGACAAATAAGGTTGCAATGGCAGTGTGCTCATAGTCCCTAGCTTTGGAGGAGAATAGGGACACTGGTATGGGGGAAATGGGCAGGCAACATAGTTCCTGGTGGCTCTGATGTGGAGGAAGAGGGTACACAAAACCCTAGCCTGGGGTAGAAAGAGGAATAGGAAAAGCTGACAGACACTGACATGGGAGATAATGGGAACCTGGGAATGGGGGGCAGTCAGAACTCATGTGTGACACAGAGGTCCATTGGTGCCAGCTGGCCAGGGCCGGCTCTAGGCACCAGCAAAGCAAGCAGGTGCTTGGGGCGGCAAATTTGCAGGGGCGCAAGAATCCAGCATGGGAGCTGAGAACCAACAGGGGGCCCTGGGAGCTGTAGTTCCTTGGTTAGCTCCCTGCCTATAGAGCCAGCCCTGGAGCAGGGAAAGAATTACATTTCCCAGCATTCCCTCGGCCACAATTAACAGGAAAGGGAGGGGGAAGGAGTGTGGAACTGAAACCTCATGCTGCAGCTTGCTGTGAATGGTAGGGACAGAGCCAGCTCTAGGTTTTTTGCGCCCCCACCCCAGCCCTGGACTCCCCTGCACCCTCGTGTTGCCCCAGGCCTGGACTCTCCCCTGCCCACACCCCCTGCTGCCCCAGCTCTGGCCCCCACCTGCACCCTCCTGCTGCCCCAGCCCTGGGCTCTCCCCTAAAGAAAGAATTGGGTGGACTAAATGGACAGTGCACCTCTCTGTCTGAAGCCTAGCAAGGGAGGTATGTGGATCCCACTAGAATTTAAAATGAAAAGTAAGGGAGGGGAGGCTCTACTAGACTGGGCAGCTTTAGATACAGTAGCAGGCACATAGGAGGATTTACACTTCTGAGCCATGGAAGCAGAAATTGACTTTTCTTTTCCAGATTTAGCTAATATTCAGAAGGGGAATCCAGCACCTGCCTTCCAGATTTGAACACCCTCAAAATTCAGGAGTGCTCAAGCTCAATTTGGGCAGCTGTTACTTCATTTCTCCCAAATCAAATATACTGATCCACTGTAACTTGCTGTAGAAAAAGTAGAATAAATTGAGCAAGAAATGCTTCCTAGTGGTTATTAGGACTGGAATTGCTATTTTCAACAGCCATTGTCTTTTTTTTTTTTTTTAGTTTTAGTTTTATTTGTTTAAAAGGAAGACGGATATTGCATTGGCAAATTTCCCATAGAAACAAAGCATGGAACAAAAGAATAATAAAGGCACCTCAACTTTTCCTCATTTATGTAGGACAGTCTTATAATATGCATCCAGATATCCTTCAATCACACAAGCTGAAAATTGTTCCACTTTACTGCAGTTCTGTAACCATATGGGAACCAATCCTGTCTGTGTTCTGTGCACATCCAAAATTCCTGCTGAATTACCTGCCCTGGGAGCGAGTTACCAGTGATCCAGGGCTGGGGCGGCAGGAGGGTGCAGTTGGGGGTGGGGGGAAAGAGAGAGGGCGCCCAGGGCTGGTGGGGGGGGCAGCCAAAATTTTTTTTGCTTGGGGCAGCAAAAAACCTAGAGCCGGCCCTGCAGCTGGCAAAAGGTTCACAATTCTGTGTCAGCAACTCCTAATAAGCCTGACAAACTCTTCACCTAAGACACTGCTTTTATGGTACTTATCCATAAATAGGTCTTGTAAGGTAGCAGATAAAAGCTGGTGTCACACTGGTCATTATTATCATTGTGAAAGTATGTACTAATGATATTTAAAAAGTTGTGTATATCTTGACAATATATCCTGAGCCTCTGTATCAAGTATGAGTCACCTGCAGAGAAAGGTTTTTCTCTCACATCAGGAATGTTTGACCATCTAGCTAACTGGCATATAAATTAAGCATTTAATGTTTCACAATGGGCCTCTGAGTTTGAACTGAATGCTGATAAAGAACACAGACATGTGAAGTCAACATGAAGTCAGCCAGACATTACAGGGGGATGCTTTAGAGGAGCTTGGAGACTAGGGTACATCAAGTGTCATCCTGCAAGGCAAAGTAAAGGCTGGCAGAGCCCTGAGGAGATTGTTTGAATGGCTAACAGATTGAGGGTATCGTGGCGCTGACACCCAGTTTAGCACCAGCAAGTCCTTCTCTACTTGAGGGAGCAGGTTACCACCATGACTCAGAATCCTGGGCACCCTGAGAAAATGTGTCACCATGGTGGAGAGGAGATTGGGGAACCCTGGTATGGAGGGGAAAGGGGCAAATGAAGGGCATGAGGGAAGTGGGAATGGGGATACAATCAGAGCTATTGGTATGTGGGGAAAAATGGAGGACCCTAGTGTGGGAGAAGGGGAAATGGGAGGCACACTGAACTCTTGGCAGAGAGAAGTTGCAGGGAGTCCCTGAAGTAGAGTGGGATGGGAAAGTGGCACCCAGGTAATTCATGGGGGAGGGGAATGGAGGAATGCAAGGAGCCTCTGCTGTGCAGTAAGCTCAGCCTACACAAGCTACAGAGTGTGCGACCCCCTAGTTTAATGAAGCCAGCTAATTTGTATGTGGCATGCTGGCTTTACAAGATATATGGTAGTACAGATACAAAGCATAGTTAAACCTTTTATAACTATATTTAAAACAATACTGCATCAAAACCCAATAATTATTCTGATCCATATGGCACAATATGGTTATGCTGGTATTACGATCATCAATAAAAATTGTTACTTTTTTTTTAAAAACACGTGAACATAATGTAGTCCTGAACATAAGGTGATCTCTATCAGTAATGAACATTTTAAGTTTCCTTTGGTTACAAGTATGGTTTGTTACAGGCTGAATCAAATTAAGCCAAGATCATCTTGAAATGTTACATTCTTGAATGTTTGTATTTTCAGGGTTTGCCAGGGCTAGAAGGTCCTCCAGGTCCACCAGGGAAAGAAGGTCAGAGGGTGAGTAAACTTTGTGAACAACTGGCAAGTGTGTGAACTGACGTTAATGTGTTCTTGCTGAGCACCAATAAAAATAAGACAAAGATAGCAGCTGAGTATGAAGCAGTCTCCTCAAACTGAGCTTTGAAATTTGAGTTTTGTCTTAGTTTGCTTAACAGTTAAAGCTCATTCAATCTTAAATGTTTTAATGACTGGCAGCACAGATGCAGAATTGTAGTTTGCGTAAAGTGCATCTGGTGTAATTTAAACTGGAAAAATAATAAAAATTGATCTCAACTTTCAGTTCTGTTGTAGGAATGGAAGATATCCTAGTGTACACATCATACGTCAGGACGTGATTTTTATGCCAAGTATTATACTGCTCAAAGCTAGGGCCAATGGTCAGGTTTTATTATAGTTTTGATACGTGCATGTCATAGTGGATAATATCTATACAAGGAATGGATAATGGTTAGGAAGAAATAAGAAGCAACCAAGACTTGCTCAAGACTTGAAATGAATCTAGACCCATTTGTGAAATTTTAAAATGTTGAGTTAACTGGGTTTTCTTTTTACTCATTTTCTTGTGCCTCTGCATTTCTTGACTTCCTTTTGTACCAGCAGAAGTAGTAAAATACAAAGACAGATGCTGATCTCATAGTATTTATGAGCCAACTGGAAAGTATTGGAAAACCAATTCTAGACCAAAGTTTGGATAAACATCTGAACTTTAAAAGATATTTATCTCAAAGTCAGATTTCTTAGCAAACAAAACTAGTGTGCCTTTCTGAAGTTTGTTCATTCAGAATTAATTTTGGCCCAGTCCTATAGGGCATAGAGGCACTCATTTTTCAGAGAAGTTAATGGGAATCAAGGTGTCGAATACCTTATATTATTGGGTCTGTAGAGGAGTGCGGACTCACCCAGCAGCGCCTCCTGCTGGTGACTTCCAGGAATTAGCTTGTTCCAGCTCCAGAGCACCCTCTGCAGGCCAGTGTCCCACCCTGGACCCCAGGGCCCTTTTACCTGGGGTGCTGCCCCCTGGCAGTAACCCCTCAGTCTTAGGGCCTCCCCTCACCAGGGAGCCCCCACCTACTATACCCACTTCACCTCAGTCTTGGCTACTGCCCAGTCTCCCTCTAGCCCCCATTCACTGGGGCAGACTGCAGTATCAGCCACTCATCACAGGCAAAGGGGTTCAGACCTGCTGCCTCTGCCTACCCATGGGCTGTCCCCTGCAACCCAGTACCTAACAGGCCTTACCAGGCCTGCAGCTTTCCTAGGCCAGAGCTCCCCGGCTCCCTTGGCCTTTCCCCAGCCCTGCTCCACTCTAGGTACTTAGTTAAGCACCCTACAGCCAGGCCCTTCTCTCTCTGAACACAGAGAGAGACTACCTCCTTGAGCACCCTGGCTCAAGCCTTTATAGGGCCAGCTAGGCCCTGATTGGGGCGTGGCCCCAGCTGACCCTGCTTCCTCCCAATCAGCCCAGGCATCTTGCCCCTCCACAGCCCTCCTCCAGGACTGTTTTAAACCCCTCAGGGCAGGAGCGGGTAACCACCCTGCTACAGGGTCCTTTGTGTACAACCTTTCATGAAAGGCATAATGCTGATTGCTAAAGATGTGATCTGTAACCTTGACACAAAGGGGTATTTCTTTTCAGGAAAGCAGTCCCATTTACTTCAGTGGAACTATCCACAGGCCTGATCCTGGTACACAGTGATGAGTGTGGGAATGTTCTAACTCTTACTGTTATGCAGTTAAACATGTGAGAAATGGAAAAGGCCTTGCTTGTCCATTTTTTTTACATGCTCTAAATAGGAAGTTTTTCTGTGGAGTCTCAGGTCTGCAAAACAGCCAGAATACTAACACTTATTTGTCCCTTATATCCAATAATGTGAAAGGCAGACATTGGTGATTATCTGAAGTTTTAAAATGTAGTTATTTTGTGGTGCTGCTTTTAGGCTAGGACTGTAATATTATGTCCACTGCTAGAAAAATGAATTGTAGGTGTATTCTTTTTGTTAAGCAGGGAAATTTAGTGAGAAGATAGATTTCCCTTAGCCACTTATATTTCATACATAACATTAAGCTGGGGTCTTTTTAGTATACAGACAATACAGTATAAACAGAAGTGCTTCTTCCCCTACTATCACAGCCATGCAGACAACTGTCTCCAGCCAAACAGCAGCAACAACAGAGGTTTGGACTACGCCCTCTCTCATGCGCTTCATATTATTGTACAGTGACTGGCAATTCTTTCTTGCCCTGCACCACCCAGTATAATAATAATTAATTAATAATCACGCATCGTCATGGTAGCTTAATTTAAATAAATTAAAAATCTGGAAATGCAGACGTTAAGGTTTTTACAGCCACAATAACTCAGGCCTTACCAACACTGAGATTTTTAGCCACTGTTATAGTTACACTAATGTGGGTGAATCATTGTGGGTACATGTAGTATTAGATATGGTGTACTGGTGTAAATCAGCAGTTGCAAATCTGCGGTCTGCACCAATGCAGCTACACCAGCATAGCTACCTGGATGCTAAAAAAACCAGTGCATAGAAGACTTCAGTCAGGTTGCACATCCTCTATATATGGTATTACATACTGACAAACAAACAAAAACTATGTTAAAAGGATGTTAAGATTGCAAAATCAAATGCTCAAGAGTTACAAAATGATGGAATGAAGGTTGTGCATGCAACCTTACTCCATCTTCTTCCTGCATATGGATTTTTGATGCACTTTTTAATTATTGTGCACAGGAAGGACAAAGCAGTGGTTATTCAATATTTTCTTTTTATTTCATCACTCATTATGTGACCCTGTGCTTCATTTATTACACACCATCGAAACCTTGCACTTAATACAGAATTATTTATTTCCTCATGAGTTTTCCTCTGGAGCTCAGAACCATACTATAAGTTCTTGTCTACACTACAGAGTTTTGTTGACAAAAATCAGCTGTTGTCGACAAAACAGTGGAGGTGTACACACTACAATGCTCCTGCTGCCAACAAAACTCTCCTGCTTTTCCAACAAAATAAAACCACCTAGACAAGATGCGTAGAGCTTTTTGCAGCAAAGTTATATCGATGGAGTGTCAGTGTAGACACTGCGCTTGGTTATGTGACTGTAAAATGGCCTCCAGGAGATGTCCCACAATGCCCATTCTGATTGCTGTGGTTTGAATTCCACTGCTCTGCACCCAGGTACACAGGCATTGACCCCACCTCCCTTTAAAGGCCATTTCCTGATTGCTTGGCACGGAGCCCTGACATCACATTTTCCCAGCTGACCATGGTGGCTCCATGCAGCAAACGCTGTCCCGCTTGGAATACATGTGAGTTGTTGGATCTATGAGGAGAAGAGGCTGGGCAGTCCCAGCTCTGCTCCAGCTGTAGGAACTTTGATACCTATGGACAGATTTCTTGTGGCATCTTGGATAAGGGCTACAAACAGGACATTCATAAGTGTCATGCGAATCTAAAGGAGCTGAGGCTGGTATACCAGAAAGCAAGGGAGCAAACCATGGCTCTGGTGCTACACCAAAGTCCTGCTGCTTCTACAAGGAGCTGGACGCCATCCTTGGTAGCGACCCCACCTCCACTGCCAAGAGCCCTGCTGATGCTTCAGTGGGACTGGAGACAGCGGACTCAACCCCGAGGACAAAGTGGTGGATGAGGAAGTCAAGCTGGAGGATGAGATGGGACAGGCAACAGGGTTGTCAGGTGCCATGGCGAGCCAGGACCTCTTCTTGACCCAGGAGTATTCAAGCCAGTCCCAGAAGTCATGATGCAGGAGAGGGAAGCTTTGGTAAGTGATCTTTTTGCGTTGATGCTGCTCGGTTACACGAGGTAGAGCTGTCCTTTGCTTTGTTATACTCTAGAAGTGGGCTAAGACATAGAAATGTATACGACTAGCTGTGTTTGCATCTCCGTCTGCTTCACATTCCCCTATGCAGCTATGCAGAAGGGGCCCTGTGGAAAAGTGTGTTAATGGACACCGAGATTTCACAGAAATCCTCCAGAGATGTCTCTAGGAAATTTTCCTGGAGGTACTTGCCAATTCTCTGGCAAAAGTTCCTTGGCAGAGCTGCTTTGTTCCTTCCCCCATTGTAGGAAACTTTTCCACAGCAATCACTTGTGCAGGGACCAAAGCGGCGCATAGACATGCAGCATAGGGACCTGGTCTGATGCCACACACATGCAGGAGTCCACCCTTACATCCTTGCTTATTCTCAGGGGTGAGATAGCAGCTTCAATGACCCCATGGAAAATGGTGGCAGAATTTACAATTTTGCCCAGTTGCTTGCAGTGATCCCCTTAGAAAGCCACTTAGACCTTTTGACCCATCTTGAGTGACCCTCCGGCCCTGTCCTGAACTCACCATGTTTGGGTTGTTCGTTGAGCTGTGTGCTTGACAAAAGACAATGAGAAACTGGTTCCTATTTTAAAAGAGGTGTATTTTACTATAATGATCCGATGCTTTGAGTGCACTCAAAATCATGCTTCTGTTTATTGTTTCCTGTGCTTCTGCAGATGTGGCCTTCAGGGGAACCTCCTACAAACCGGTGGAGCACCTCCACCAGATAAGGAAGCAACGAGGAGGAGCAAGAAGGACATGTTTCAAGAGGTGCTCCAGTCCTCAGATGCCGAAAAACAAGAACAACAGGCGTGAAGACAGACTGTAACTGAAAATTATAAAATAGGCAGGACAAGAAGGAGACCTAGGAGCAAATTGTAATGTGCCAGGAACGGATGATAAAAGTGATGCAGGAGCAAACAGAGATGTTGAAGTCCCTAATTACACTTCAAGCAGAACACATGCATGCTTGCCCCCCCGACCCCTGCAGCTGATACAGAACTGCTTGTCATGCCCTCCCCAAACTCCTTCCACACATTCCTTGCATCTTCCCGACCTGTCTCAGTACCTCATTCACTCCACCCCTTCGGACAGCTTCCAAAATGATAGCTGGAGTTGCACACAGCTATGAGAGCCTACATCAGGACGCT